GAGTAATGCGACAACTTGCTGGTTGGGTTCTAGGTTAATTGCAAGCCGATTATCACCGATTTTGGGGAGACCCTTCGAATAATTTTTTTTAAATTTAACCACAATGTTGAATTCAATATCTGTTATTTGGTGATGGTTGCACCTTCTTATATATCCACTGCACAGGGGTGTAAAATGCTGTCAATTCACCCGTTGGGTGCACAAAGCATTCTTCGAATTTACTTGGATATTGCTTGACTAAAATCACCTTTCTGTACCTTTAAAAATATCATCAATTTGAAACCTTAAAGCTGAAAGCTTGCTTCACCAGCTCAAATATCTTCTGTTTTCCATAATTTCGGTTTCCACTGNTTCGAAACAACACTCAGTTCAACAGACTACCGCGCTACAACGAGATCGCTCTATGGTGTTTAATCCGCTTACTGTATATCACCGTATCGTATGGCAAGACTTCTCTCTAGCGTGTTGACTGCCTTAACCTACAATCACTAAATTCTGAGAAGTCATTATTGGCGTTCTATCATCAATAGGACAATTTCATCTTCACTCTGTTTGACTGCAAAGGAATGCTGAAACTTGTTTGTATTAGATGAGGCCATTAGCCGATGAGTTGTCAGAAGTAATTTTTTTAATTTTGTATTTTTCAACATAGACTAACACAGTATTGTAGTATTGTGCCTTCTCGTGACCCACGTTCTGAGTTTCTCGTGCTTGATTCCTTCGTCCAGTCTGCCCACTCCCATTCACTCTCGTTTGTACTCAGCTTCGAGCCATTTGCGTAACTCTTTCACATCAACTTCTCCATCTTGGTTCACATCGTGTTTTCTGAAAAGCTCCTCGATTTTCTTTGCGAATCTCGGTTCCGGCAAAACAGATGTCAGTTCGTCCAGGGATAGTTTTCCATTTTTATCCACATCTAACACATTGATCAATTGCTGGGCCCATTTTGCGTAATCCCTGTAAGAATCAAAAGTCAGGTAAACAGATTTTTTTGTTCACATTTCGTGGCAGTCCATCGATTAATTTACTTCAAGTACCATTTCAAACCGATCGACCTGAAAGGCTGAATTCACTTGATGATCCGAAAACCAGAAACTGAATTCTGCGAGGTAACTCATTCGACATATTCCGAATTATTGTGAATGTTCAGCCATCGATGTGGCTTTATACAAAATTACCAGTTCTTTCAAATAGTTAGACAACATTTGCTGGAAAAACTCACAAAATGTCGAGGTTAGTGGTTGGGTCATCAAAGCACACGACACTGGTATTTATTGAGCATAGTTTTAATAATAATTGATTAAATGAATCCCGGGCTAGATGCCGAACTATTCTCAAGACCGTGTAAAAGCACAAGTTCAAAATAAAAAGCAAAGCGTGCTTATCTACCTATATAAATAAAAGCAAACGGTGATTTGTATGGAATTTCCTCTTCGCCCAGTTGGGACTGTTGCCTAGATGTTGATTCTGAGTACGTTGCGTGACCAATACGCCTAAATCGAGTGAGCAAATGCTAATGAGGTTAGCTGGCTTTGCTCAATGTTCGGATGAGTGTTGGATCTGTGAGTGCTTATGGTATACTGACTGCACCAGAGGGTGACCACAGTCTGAGCTATCGGGCGTTCTCCGATGAAGTCACAAAAATTGATTCCTTTCAATAGCAGCGTAAAAATAAGTTTTGGGCGATTGTAAATCGGTCACCTTTTTTGTCGTGTAACAGTAAATCCAAAAGAAAGTTGATTATCGTAATATCGATTACAAGTGGATTGCACTATAGTGTTTTTTAGGCTGTTCATATTGGAAATGAAGTGAAATAGAGAAAGAGGAAATTGACTGTGGCACAAATTTTCCTTTGATATATTTTGGTGGGTGGCATCTGATGCATACAAAAGGCATTGCACATATTGTACAATTGAAAGCATTGAATGCCGATTTCATCAATCTAGTAAAATCTATATTAAGGTTAAATCACAGAAAGGAACAATAAGCACCGTTTGTATAGCATAAAAGCTATCTGGTTTTTAGAGACATTCTCACTGATAAATGCATTCCGCAAATTTCCATTTGAACAGCGACTGATCGCAGTCATAAGGGTCTTTCTTCAGTTTATGCCTCACGAGGAGTTTTAATCACTATACGGTAAGGTCCATCACATCCAATCCCCGTCGCTGCTGAGATCGGTGTTGATATACCGCCACATATGGTAAGCAAACTGAACCAGCAATTTTGAATCTATTTTGACATGGCTGAATATTTTCTATTTCTGTTCTGCAATTTATCAATAAAGGTGAACAAGGGGTTTTCAATGAATGAACTGCAATGCTGTGTGTCTTTAGAAGTTAACTAAGACGGACTTCAGTTATTCAAATGAATAATTCACTGAGTGGTTTCTTGAGAAATATATCAAATCTTGCACGATTCATGTGTAACCGGACATGGAATTCTCAATGAAAATCGAACGACTCACTACGAATCCATGATTCTCGTTGAACAGTGTTTTGATTTNCTGTGGGGGGGGGGGAGAAATGAAGACATAAACCATGTGTTCAATAGATCTGTGCCTGTAAGTGTGCAGTTTATCCATTGATAACCAAGTTTTGTACTCCAACTCAATAACTGCATTGGCGTTTTGATAGTAAATTATCTATCGGTTAACTTCCAGTGATAAGAAATGATTAAAGTGGATTTTTTTTAGTTATGTCAGCTTTTATGCTTCAGCGGGTGCCATAAATTTGGGACTGAGTACTAGTATGTATCTGTTCTACTTGATGCTTCCTTTCCGAGTCAAAACGTAAACCGATACGCTCTACCGTGAATTATTTAGGCGCTAAGAACATGTGGTACATCAGTTTCTATCCAGACTTGTCAATGATTTCTCGGGCACATTGATAGTGATGATGATTCAANACTGCCTCACACATAATTTGTAAACGTTTCCTCATAATAAGTAAGAATAACGTATTTCTTTTGAAACATGTAAACAGAACTTTCCCTTCTAACCCAAAGTCACCCAATTTCGTCAACAAGAAATCCTAACCGCAGAAACTAAATAATGAAAATCAATATTTTAGAATTTATCTTCATTAAATTTAGTTAGCTTAAAAATACTATTCACTAAAAATCAAGAAGCTTTTAGGAACCCCAGGATATTCCAAGTTAAGGCCATAATAAACAGAGGGAATTTCTCCCTACTGTCTCGCTTTTAACGGTTAAATGTTCAAATATGCATGTTGCACTACCTGGCACTGAAAGTCCGGTCTGAACAAATCAATTATTGAACAACGGAAGCAGGATACAGTCATTCGGTTTGTGCACTTCAAGAAGTGAGATGATGCAGTTTTCTTCTTTGCCATCTCGCTGACTTGCTACCTGATCTATTCAGTTCTAAAATTGCACGTGTACCAAGCTGTAGAAGAAACGATTGGCGCTGATGGAACAATATCTATGAGTAACTGAATGGTGAGTGGCCTTGCTTTGGACAAAACCCCAACAAACTTTGTTCAGTGCGATTTACTGATGGCCTTGTATAGACGTTAGCCTGCAATATCAAAGCTTTGTCTTGGAATTATTTTATAAAAGATGTATTTTTCCACGTCTTTCTCGTGTACACTTTAATTTGTCTGAGTTTGTCTTTGGTGTAGCGGAGAATCATTTTCGCAGGATATCCCATTCGACACAGGAAGCATATTGTTCGATCTTTCTCATCCAAAATGTTTCCTTAGGCTGCACATAGGTTTGGCTATGTGTAGCTCAATCGGATAGAGCTTATAATGTGAGTGTATTTTTCTGTCCATTTTTATCTGCTGAAATGACATTTTCTGGCTATCTATGGTGACGTTGAAGAATAAATGTCATATGCGCATTCAAAACTTTGCGCTAAGGTGTTAAATCGATTCATCTTACATTTTGGCTGGGAATGTGTTTGATAGAATGTGACTAAACCGCCAGCGCATAGTGACAGTAACGTTTATCATGCTGTAGTTGTGATCGAAAAATAAGTGAAAGTTCCGAGGGAGGCCTTGTTAACTGCAGCTCATATCTTTCACGTCATGCATTCATTTGAAGATTACCTTCTGTTGCTGGTTTATCGGAATCTACGAATTCATTTTCACTCGTTGTGAGATTAAGTTCACCATATAAGCCAATGATTTACCTCACAAGTTTAATGAAAAACATTTTAGACCAAACATTCTTTCCGTTACAATTAGATGCGTGATATGTGGTCAAACTGCATAGTGCAAGATGGAAACTGCGATCTGGTATTGTAACAACAATGAAAGTCATTGGATTTCGTTTCCAATTCTTTTAGTTTGATCTATCCAACCAAGTTTCGCCAATTTTTAAATAAAATAAGAGATTCAATAAATGGAACAAAAAGACATTTCGAATAAAAATTGGGTAGCGGGGGTGATAAATTTAACCTTTTTTGATAAAAAACACAATTTTGAATAAAATACAACATGCATGAGGTACAGAGTACAAGGTTTGTTTACCTGCCTGTGAGGAGACGAAGAAAAAGTGAGCCCGTAACTTGACAACCAGACCCGTAGAGTTATATACTCTTTTAAATAAACTGATCAGTGTTGTCAGGTATTGTGATTATCACGGGTACGGGGCAGTGCCTGTGTCACCAGATTTGCAAACCTATTCGTATTCGCATGCAAGATTTGTTTGAATACAAGCCTACACATCACCATCCAATGCAACTTCTCACCTGAAATCTTGACGGTATCATGCATAGGGACGTACCATAATCTGAGTCACGTGATTGATTTACAATGCGGTGCACGAGACAATCTGAAAGACGCACTCGAGATCTGTTCCAAGTTTGACTGGAAGATATACAACAAATCAAGAGAACAATGGTGAAACTCTCTCAGAAGAAAACTTTATTTAGTAGCACTAAGCGGATATTGATAGTAAAAAGATGACAACGAGCAATTTTTATACTGATTTGTAGTCATTTCATTATTTATTCCCGGTCTGTCGTTACAAATGTGGTAAAAACGTGTACTTGGAAGGAACAGAAAAGCTGCGTGCCAATGGAAGGTTTGCTGAGCGAGCGAACTTGTTCACGTGTTACAACGAACGTCCAATGAGTATAAATACACACATTTAGGAGAATTTTGCAGTTATTCAGAGATCAGCCAGTACATATTCCAAAATGTAAATTCGTGTTTCGAGTCTTCAGAACACAGCCGTAAAAAGCTTCACGCGCGACCTTCATCTCAAAATCTCTGCAGTGAGATTCCTTTATCGTTTCACGTCGTCTTGTCCCTCTCACAAGTGACCTGAAGCACCGAAATTCCATCTGACCCTCTCTGCTAGCTGACTGTATCTTTTCCCACGAGTAGCGTAAATTGGATTCCTTCGAACTCACAGGAGACTGTCTGATCACCGATTCGTTTGTGGTATTCCTGTTTTCACCTGTTGTCCGCCCGTGGGATGATGGAACTCATGCTGCTAGACTTTCGAAGTTCACTGGCATTCTAATCACCGGAGATTTGCGGATCGTGTTAGCTTGCCAAGTGCCAAATAAGACGTCCCTTATTGCAACTAGTGCTTCCGACCGATCCATGGATGAACCTGATTGATCGTGTGATTATTATTGGATCAGCAAATAAGAATAAGTTATGAATCCCATGCTGCTTAGTCGTTGACAGAGATTTACCACAGTCGACTATCGATCGAAAGCTTATTCACCTTGAAGGGTTTATATTCAACTTATTTTAAACTTCATCTTTGTCCATAAGTATACGGGCCTACTATGGAACGGGGAATTTCTAGCATGACCGAATTGAAGAACACAAACAATCAACAGATTATTCGGAAGAACGACAACCTGGGTGTGGTCAGTGAAGATTTAGGAGCAATATGTTCCAGTTAAATCAATTTAGAGGTCACAACTTTTAGTAGCAAAGAGTCCTTAGGATATAGTGAAAAGCGCCCAATGATGGTAAAGCCAAGACAAAGAGCAAGGAAGTCTTTTTGTAGATAAAGCGGGGAAGATGACAGAAGATCAATTGTACACAATGTAACACAGCGATAAACAAAGAAAATGACAACACTACATTCCAAGCGACCACGATTTAACTCCGGAATCATTTGTCACATCTCATCTGGTGCTTACGGGAGAATACAAAACAGTTTATATATTACAGATGTTGATAATCTAACATGGTATCACTTCACTCTTCCGCTTACGTGGTTACCAGGACAGTGCCAAACTGATGCAGAACTGCTTTTACTGACAAAGCAGGGGCTTTCAGCGCTTGACTGCTATAACCTCTGTAAACCTCAGCAACCGTCCGTTCGAGGTTGAATAAACAACCCGAAAAGTAGTGCGTACTTTTTGTCCCCTGTCGGACCACTTGGGTCGGGACTTCAAACCCTTACCCAGGCGCTGCACGGCAGACGGTTATCACCTTGTGCGAATGGCTCAATCAATTTAGAGTATCAAGCTTGGATTAGCCCATTCGATTCTTCAGAGACACCAGGGACACAAAATGTACGCACTGCTGGCTAGTCTCAAACAGGACGAAACAGCTGTTCATTGCCCTTTGTCCGTTACCACAAACATTTCCATCGCATTTGAAAGTATTATCTCGTGGGAAATAACCGATCTCTCAAGGAGTGGAACCCACTCCGAGGACCTTCAAGAGTGCCCGGTGCCTCTGAACAATCAAATGAGCTAATCCAAGCTTGATACTCTACACCCAGAAAGTAGTTCCGCGTTCGGTTTGGTGGCCAGTCGGCAGAAGTTGGCGAGCAATTGATGATGCAGGTGTTCTGTGCGGTGGGCCTCATGGGCTGGTTGTATGTGTAGCCCTCAATATGATCCGTTCGCGTTCAACCCATGTCAGTATATATTCTGCCAACTAGATACACAGTTACTTGTCTGTTCTGCCCTCGTAGGTGGCTCCGAACCCACATTGAAATCCATATATTATGTATGATTTAGCGGATAGAGATAGCAGTGATTTGACTAAGGGTTTCGGACTCTGGATTGTAGTGAAGCGAACTACCGGATTTGCAGCGAAATATGTACTGGCTACCAATACTACCAACCGCTTTTGTACAACCTGACCTAAATCGTCCCCTTTGAACGGTAATAGAATAAGAATGTCATATTTTGATGTTGTGATTACCGAGGTCTGGGGTTGGCCTTGTACACTGTACCTTTGTACAAACCTCGCTGGATAACCATCGAACCTTAAAGTTTCCGTGACCCGAATTAAGTAACTCTCAACATTATCCGGAGTACAAAACCTTCTAGCTTAATCACACAGAGTACGCACGAGACCTCGTTTGTATTGGATTGGAGCAAAACTCCCAAAGTGTATAAAGTAACCCGTCCACGCGGATTTTCAATGCACGGACCTCGAGATAGTTCCATCTGGTCTTCGCCCGATACCTTTATCTAGAAATGGGAGTATGTTGTTCTGTTCAGTTTTCATAGTGAAATGGATGACGTTTTG